TCCCCAATCGTGGGCCACCTACAGAGCTTCAGAGTCGCGCAACGTCAGGGGAGGGCAAGACGGTCAAAGACGACCCTTAGCCGAGACTACACCGTCTTCGAGGAAGACAAAACAGCCGGAATTAAAGGAGCTCGCCGGATGAAATTTGGAAGAAGGGTTTCGCCGAGGGAGAGAGTCGCGTATTAGGTTTTTTTTTTCTTTTTGTTTTTTATGATTTTTTGTCTTTTTTTTTTCCAACGACATTAGCATTCTCATATATAAAAAAACCCAAAAGGCAATGTACACGGGCGAACCCGAATCCGGAGAATCTGGGAGGTTACAATTACATCCAATGTAACCTAATCAAGACACACCTATCAACGCTAGAATAACAGCCAAAACACAACACATAAAACAAATACAGAAATACACCAAAAAGAAAACACAGAAAATACTCCCAACAGGAGAATGCCCGAGTGTGCTCCCAAAAGGAGAATAAAGGTACATTCGGGCCAACTGGAGCCAAACGGCTCAAACCTAAAACACATCAACAAAAAAACACTAAACAACATGAATACTGCTAGTACTTATTCATAATATAAAATTGCATTTTTCTTCTTCGTGTCTTCTCTTTTTATTTATTTATTTATGCATGTTTCTTCCTCGTGTCTTTTCTTTTGAATTTTGTGTTTTCGGGTTAGCTGCTAGTACTTATTCATAATATAAAATTGCAATGTTCTTTTATTTACTTCCCAGTTATGTATTGAAACAATGAGGACATTGCCTCATTTTAAGTGTGGGGGAAGTTTACTTGGATTTTGCATGCTTATGCGGTGGACCACTCTAGTTTTAGGTTTTTGTGTTGTTGAGCATGGGATATTGGTGAATTTTAAAACTTGTTGATGACTGATTGATGAAATAAGGAAGATGTGATGATGGTCTTGTGGTCATTCATGACAAGATAATTGCTTGGTTGTCTTGAGTGACATCTATTTGCCTTGTGAGATTTTGTTCTTACTCTTTTTATTGTGAGTTATTGGTCGTATTCTTGAATGATTAGAACTTGACTTAAGTCTGTTTGAAAGAAATTGATTGGAGTCGGGAGTTGCGAAAATGATTGAGGCATTTTGTTTGATTAGCACACTTTTGCCTTGTTCTTTGGTCTTAAAAATTATTTTTCACTAGTAGCCCGTTTGAGCATTGAGCCTTTTCTTGTCAACCATGCATATATTATATTTGATTGTTGACGGTTTCATGTGATGATTGGTGAAAATGGTGTTGTTATTGAATGAAGCGAGATTGAGTTGAATTTCTTTTGCTTGACCAAAAAAAAAAACGGAAGAGAGAGAGAGAGAGAGATTTCGTAAGACGAATCGAATGGATTTTGTTTCGCTTACTTGTTAATTTACCTTGACGAGTAATGACTGTTGGGAAACCACTGTAGGCCACACCTGCTACTCCACTGGGGAAGGCAACTTTATCAGATTTGAGGGAAGACGATGAAAGCGATTTGGGGGTAGGGTTCCTGAGCGGCAGAAAAAGATCAATATTATGTTTGAGGTTTATATTTGAGAATTTTTTTTCTTTTTAAACGATAGAGATTTTTATATAAAAGGGCACAAATGTGCAAAAGATACAGCCACGAGCTGAATATAGACAGCCAACAGCTGCATACAAGCAGTCAACAGCGAAATAAACTAGAAGGACAAGGCCGAAGCCTGCCTAGAACCGACCCCAACGGGGTAATACTCGGACCTAGAAACTAAACACTACGACACTAAAAACTCCCAAGGGGAGAAGAAAACAAACAAACAAAAAGACCCCAACAGGGTAATGCCTGAGTATAAGGTCCCCACAGGATAATAAAGTCACACTCAAGCTACTCGAGGCTAAGGCCCAAACCTAAAACACAAACAACACAAAACAAGAACAAGACAAAGCGACACACAAAAACAACAACACAACCTAAATAAACATAAACAACAAAGCATTATGCCTCCCTCAGCAATAACATCCAGGAAAGACAGCAGACAAATCCAGCTCCGAGGAGAGCTCCGAAGCTCTGGAACCCCGCCCGCCACTACATAAGGCCTAGCAAGACGAAGACCTTAGCCTCTGAACAAACCAAAAGATACCGACCCGCACACCGACCGCAAGAAGTCACAATCTCCCCCCAACCGGCTAACACCACTAGCCAATCCGAAACCGTCCCAAAATTTCCTGACACCACTAGCCAACTCCGGGAACAAACGGCCTCCCACAAGCTCGAAAATCGAGCTACAGTAGGAAGGGGGCGAACGACCTCAGTGCTCAGCCGCATCTGCTCTGCTCGAAGGAACAAACTCAGCCCGAACCAAACACCTATCCACCCAGCCCGCAATGACGAATCCCGACCCACCACTCCAGCACAGCCGAGGTGCCAGGAGCCAGACTCTGGCCAAACCCGAAGACCCGCAATCAGGATTTCCTACCAGCCCGGCAGAAGGAGACGCTTCGACCAAAGCTCGAATCCAACCTCCCCACCCAGCCCCCGAGGACGGGCCGTAGCCCCCCCTGCTTCCACGCCATTACGCCGGCCAACAGAAGGCCGGACTGGAAACCTGCAACACCACAGCGATCGGACAAGCGGCCACTAAGGCTGAAAAGGGGAGAAAAAAACAGGGACGACACACAACCCAACGAGCCGCATCCAGCCACTGCTACCACACTCCATCTAGCATCTCCACCTTGAACTTCGGAGCCACAAATCACAGAGCAGCGAAAACGACGAAATCCGTCGAAGCCCTGCAACGGCACCCCATACTGAGAGAGAGAGAGAGAGAGAGAGAGAGAGAGA